TAATTTATTTAATTTACTTTCTGTAATAAAGCTTTTTGGTAAATCTCTTACATTGATTTTTAAAGGGCCATGAAACCCCCTCGTTTCAGCAGTGTGTTTTCACACCTCTACTTTGGAAAAAGTCAGAAAAGTGGGCGTGTCCAGCTCTGTTTAGGGGGGAGTGTCGGAGGAAGAATAGCGGCTTGGTATGGGAGTGTCTATTTGGGCACGCTAAATTTCAGAGTCAAAACACACACCCACATCGGACAATGTGACTGTGTTTACATGGACATCTGTAGTCGAATTATTTGCCAAATTATTAAATGTTGGACTTTAACTGCAGTTTGGCTCTTTCATTCAGGGAATTCATTAATGTCCCTCCCAACAAACGTGATATTTGATTCGAGGAGCTGCTCTAAGCGTGTATTTTTCATGCAATGTTTGATACCGCATGGCGAATGAGAGAAAAAAAAACTCAGCATTTCCCGGAAACTTAGATGCACACGGCAGGTAGCGTCAGAAAGCCGCGTGTGTTATTCCTGTCACAAAATCCAACACGAGGTTATAGTTTGGTTTTAACTGTTAGTGCTAACTATTGCACTCGGTGCAATAGTTTGTTTGATACGAATAAAATACGAACTGAATAAACAAAGAGCACTGGTCGCTCACTTACCAAATCTGTAGAGACAGGACAATCACCAGCAACTAGAGCCGCGTCTTTATTTAGAGGAGACTAGCGAATCTGGATCTCAGCGTTTGCAGATGAGAACAGCTCTCAGGTAAACAATAATCCTCCTTAGACACGTAAGTTATTGTTGTCGCGCGTTGCGTACACTGTTAATCCACGCGTGAGTCTGCGCTCTCACAGAGAGAAAATGAAAACGAAACTTAACTGCAGCAAACTATAAAAGCAACACTTCATGCTTGTTTTGCCAACACAACGTGGCGTCTTTGCTGTCTACACTCTGACACTAATAAATATTAATGAAGTTGCACAATAGAGCGCGCTGATTGGTTTGAACCAAGCCTTACTCATGCATTAATGCAACACATTGTAAGACGTAATAAGACTCACTCTGGCACAGACGCCCAGTCTGCAGGCTGGAATACAGGCTATTATGTCATGGCCGTGACGCAGCTTCAAAAATTAGTTTCAAACAGGAAGTACTAATTTGCTTGAAATAACGCAAAAACAACCAATTTACACTTTTTAGTGAAATATAGGTGTCCTAATAGTGTTTTTAGCAGTGTGGGACACATTTACGACTGTCAACAGCTCAAAAAATGTGTTTTAGTGTTTCGTGACCCTTTGAATCTCCATGTGTGTTTTGTAAAACTTCGATAAAAATTAAAGTTTAAAATAATAATTTTTTAAATAATTTTCAATACTTTAAACATAAATGCATGTACAATGTTAAAAAAAATCTTGCAATGTTATACAAATTATTACTTCGAACTTTCTTTTTAATAGTTGTAAGAATCATTGTTAGTGATTTTGTACCAATAACATCAGATCATAGAAAAACAGCAGATCTCCATGCAGAAAATGCAGCTTTGAATCACAAGAATAAATGACATTATAACAACAATTATAAAAAAAAAAAAAACAGTTTGTACTTGCCTCACTAACACTGGCTGCCTGACTGTTCAGTCAGCAACATAAAAGTTTAAAAAACCACAGATGCAGTTTAAATATCTGTCTTTTTTGTCTTGATTCTTTTTTGTAAAACAGTGAAAATGAAATAAATCTCTTTGACTCTCTCAAATTAATCTTGTGCAGTGTGTTTTATCACATAATAATGTTCTCCTGATGAAATCAGCCATCATGAATGAGCAGTTATACAAAACAAAACTATTCATTAACAGAAAAAATCGTTACATTTATTAAATCAGTTTACAAAAATTGTGCTTATAGGGTATTACCCTTGATGGAAATATCTAAACTATTAGCACAACCCTTTAATGCTGTTTATTTCCAAATGAAAGTGAAATTGAAAGCAACACTTTCCGCTATCGATATCAACCAGCAGATGGCGCTCGGACACCACAGAAAATCAAACACATTTTTTATGTGCCACACATATTATCATTTCCCTTGATTCAGTCATACCTCAAATATTCTCCAATGCATGTATGATCTTCTAAGACTATGACACCGTTATTTATGCAAAATTCAGTAAATGACTAAATGCCTCTTAACTTATTTGCATAACCATGTAAACCTACCCCTAACACATACACACATTATCTGTTCTAATCTATTGGTTTATACACACACACACACACACAATAGATTAGAAATTAAAATGTGTGTGTGTATGTGTTAGGGTTTGGTTTACATAGTTATGCACACACAGACAACATTTGTGTAATGTTTCAATACAATGTAATAGACAAAGGACAATAACTATTTTCAATGTATAACGCAGTTTGGAAAAGTCAAGGTTTTAAAACTGCCAAAGGTTTCTGCTGTATCGTTCATACGGTGTATGTAAAGTTTTTTTTTTTTATTACGTTTTTTTTTTTTAGGACAACAGTATCTCCAGCACAAAAGATATACAAAGATGCCATTTTAAAATGTAAAGAAGTTTTTGAAGCTAATAAAGACAGCAGAAGTCAATGATTAATTTTCATTCTTCACTATTACCATCTTAACTATTCCAAAAAACTTTTAAATGTTTCTCAAAATAAAATATATCGTACTCAAAAGGGAAAAGGTTTTGATTTTACTCAGACATTTAAAAAGAATATATTTTAGTGCAGTAATCACCATATTGAGATACTGATTTTTTTATCCAAGGTTATCATACCAGAATCGTATACCGGTCTATGTGTACAATGGAAAACACAGGAGTAATTGTATTAGCCTCGACCAACAGGTCAACAACACAAAACAGTTTTGTTTTTTATAAAATTCTGGCAGTAATTTGGGAATCTTGCATTTGACTATTACCACCAATGCACCAACATTATGATTTAGAACAATAACTTTCTAACGAGACCGTTCATATATCCACAGCAAAACATAAGCAAATTAGAAACATTAACACTCACTCCAGCCATTAAGAGTTCAGATCAGTATTCATGTAAGAACAACAAGTTGCTAACGAGACTATTTATACCTCCATCACCCAGCAACATTAGCAAATTAGTAACGTTAACACCCACACAGGCCAACAATTGGGAGTTTAGATCAGTATTCATGTGAGAAAAAAATATGTTTCAATAAATTGTGTATGTACAGTATATATGTATATTATTAACTATATATTTTGTTCCTACATATATGTAACAATATAGGAACAATAAATGTTAAAAATAAATTTAACATCCAAACTTGCAGCTTACATACAAAGCAATTAATTTTAAAAGATTTAAATTGAAGAGGCAAATAACTCAGGAAAGAGTTGTTTCCTATTTTTCCAGGTCCACTCGAGAGGTCTTCATGACCTCTGACCTGGCTGGGTAGATCCTGAGGAAACAAATGATTCGGCATACAGAAAAAAAATCACACACGTATAACTCCAGATTTACTATAAAGAGGGAGGACATCATAGTCATCATATAATCAAGGCTCTTAAACATTCAACTTTATTAATAATCATAAAGACATAGGAAAGGATATGTGTTACTCAATCCTAGAGCAGACATCCATCAGAAAATACAATTATATTCTATTTTATTTATTGTGTCCATCACCAAACAAAGTATAAATCTACTCTAAAATGTGTTACAAGTCTCTCTCTCTTTATTTTTATTTGGTGAAAGAGCCTAACACAAACTCTTATAATTATATACTTCATCAGAAATCACTTTTCACTGTAAGACTGTTCATATCTTCTACATGCTCTCTCATGAGGCTTTAACAACACAATCTTACAAAGCAAATGGTTAATCAGTTTTACTGTTCAATTTTTTTTACTTAATTGTTATCTTATTTAAAATCACACACACACACAAACACACACACTCACACACACACACACACACACACACACACACACACAAAACTCTATTAATCATTATTACTGAAAATTAAATATATAATTATTTTAGCTTTTATCTTTGAATGGAAACTAAACAGCTGACTTTCATTTAACTTGATTTATTTTATCCTTGTACTGTATTTTATGTTTTGTTGTTGTTTTCTGTTTTATATGTATGTTTTCACATGAATTGTGTATTTTTAAATAGATTTTACTTGCATGTGTACTGTTTCGAACTTTAGGACAATATATTTCCTGCATCTGTGTTGTGAAATATAAAAGTACTCAAAGTCAGAAAAAAGACTATATATTTTTAAATACACTGAAACATATGCCTAGATCAGTTGTAGTAACTGTTTTAAAGTTGTTTCTGCTCCTATTGGGCCATTAACACCTGGGGATGGGCAGATTGGGCTGCTGTTGGATGCTGTCTCCTGATAGGCTGTTGACCTGCTGCCAGCTCAGGTTAAAGAGGCCCATCTCATCTCAGTAAAGTTACAGTTGTATCATTTTCAGCTACAGCTTGCTGTGTTTGACAAGTGGATAGAACTCACATTTCAACATCAGAAATGGCTTCTAAACTGTAAGTTGATTTAGTCAGTATGCCTTATGCAGCAGGCTTCTTAAGCTCAGTTTAGCTTGTATCATTTTATCAGTGGAGTTAGTTTGAGAAAGTCAAATCTTTAAAAATCTAAAGAGTCTTCTAGAACTTAGTTCTTCTAGATAATTAAAAAAAAACACTAGTTGTGTTGTTATTTTATATTTGACTTGTAAATCCTAACTGCTGGTATAATCTTGTTTAAGAAATAATTGAGACAATTTTATTCTTCTCTCATAATAAATGTCATATTATTAAATACATTTAAAATAATATGGTTAGTAACAGTATTATATTAATATGACATTAAGTTTTGTCTTAAAACTCTAATCAAAATATCCGGCAGACATTGCTGTGTGTGTTTGTGTGCTCATTTCTTTGTTTCTGTACCTGGAGTAGGGGGTGGGGTGTGGTGGAACCCAAACCTTACCAAAGCTGCTCTCGGTCTCTTCATTTTATAACATTTTGATTTTATTATCCACACAGATCCTTCCACAGCAGGATGTTTTTCCTCTGTCCTGTGTGCAAAAAGGCTCCTCACTCTCTTCCTGGGCATCTCAGGAAGGTGTGTATGAGGAACAGCACAGAAGCAGAGATCCAGGCTGTCGTCAAAGAGGCCAAGAAGGAGTTGTCTGAATTCTGTCACAAAGGACGTTTCTGGGAGTTTGGAAAAATTTGTGACATATTGGACTCTACTAATCCTCTGGCCAGGTTTGTATTCAGTTGTGCTTATCTTATTTTATGTATCTGACTTCAAATCTAACATCTGCATATAATAATAAACATTCATTTTTGGTATTGTTTATTTGACCTTATTTTATGTTCCTTGTTTTAGGATGATTGCGGAGATGCAGTCAAAGGGGTTGGTGATTAATAACTTACCTTCAGTCCTCCCGGAACCAGCTCGGTCGACAACATCTTCTGTGCCTCAAAGCTCTGGAGAAGGTGCAGAAAGTTCATTGGAGCCTCCAAATGAGTCCTTATCCGACGAGAGCTCGGGAGAGTACTATCAGAGGTATACTTTTATATCAGCATTCCCAGAAAGTAAATATACACTGCGGATATGACTTCTCTTTAATATACAAAGTCATTTTGATCACCTGCTTTTCTATTTCAGCACTGGTGGACCGATGTGGACCTCTTCCGTGAGGGTGGAGATGGTCAAAAAAGGCTTATACAACAAGCACTCCATTGACCACCCCCTTCTAGCAGGATTTAATAAGTACCTTTACACTGATCTAGGATATAAAAACAGCAAACAAGTAGTAAGTTCAAGTGAAATTATATATGTAAAAATGAGTGAATGGGTGTTGTTTTATGCAGTACAGTTTATTTTATTGTGAAATGTGTGCTTTCAGGTGGAAACAGTGTCCAGGTTCTTGCATTACATGGACCCCACTGAGCCAAACTTGATGTTTGTTCGGCGGGTGGAGAAAGTGCGAGAGTACTTTAACATCTTGTCAGATACAAAGCTCTCAAAATGGACAGTTTTCAACTACTCGAAGAGTCTCAAGAGGTCAGTAATGTGGAACCACCACAAGTGTGCCATGTACATGTTAACTAATCATGTCATCTGTGCTGTGTTCTGACTGTAACAAACCCAATGTTGATCTCTTTTCAAGGTTCATGAAATACATTATTACCTCCACGGACATTCGCCACAACAATCCAGCTTTGTTCCAGGACTGTGAGAGTTTTATGGATGCGCTGTATGGAATACAGAGTGGCATGTCCAAAGAAGTGAGCATGGAGGTCACAGCAAAAAAATCAGAGTTTGGTTGTGGCAAAGAAGTTTTGCCAAAGGACTGCCTTGCTGTTTTGGAGGCTGCATTCAAAGATTTCCAGGCCGTGATATGCAAAATGCAGGGTCCAGGAGCTATCACAGGGGACTGTTTGACTAAAAATGAACGGCTGCTCGTCCTGTACTACCTGGAGGCTGTTATCATGCTGAAGCTAGTCCAGCGGCCTGGAATTGTGACACACATGACTGTAAGTGTTTGTTTTTCCGTACATTGTCTTCTTTGTTCTTATATGCTTCATCAATGTGCAAAACTGTCTGTTTGCAGGTTGAGGATTGGGAGGGGAGGAGCCGTATAGAGAATGGTGTCTGTGTTGCAGTGAAGGAGCACAAAGTACCGTTGTCACACAAACAGGAACTTGTAAGTTTATATAGTCTTTTATATCATAACAGCAATAAATATATTGTGTCAAATTTAGACTTATTTTTTTCCTTTCTTTAACTAGTGGTTCAACTTGTACTTCAATGAGGTGCGGCCAGTAATGCTGCAAGAAAACCGCACCGGCGATGATGTGGCAGTTGATTCATTTTTTGTGTCAAGTAGTGGGAGATCGATTTATAATCCCTCCAACGACTTAAAAAGACTACATGACAAGTAAGCAACATTACACCTGTCTTTAACTCTACATGTTCATCCGTCCACTTTTTGCCTTCTTACGATGCCTTGTGTTTCAGATACAGTCTTCCCAGTGTGACGTGTGGCGATGCCCAGAGAGCATTTGAGGCAGCAGCACAAAACCTGTCAGAAGTGGAGAGAAATGTGGCAGCTGAAAGGAACTACATGAGGAGAACGTCTTCAGATCCGTTTCTGGCTCTAAGTGTGCTAGATCAGCTCGCTGGGAAAACACCGTAAGCATCTAACAACTGGGATGATCCTTATTTTTAAATTTGCAACCCACAGCCTTGCCTTTCCTTCCTTCAATATTTATTTTTTATGATCTTATAGACAAAGGTCCAGTAGAGCTTCCTGCTGTGAGACAAGGGTGGACGAACAGACGGCCTACAAAACTCTTGAGCAGTTCTGTCCAGTGACTCTGGAGGGGCCTCCTCCAAAAAGGGCACGCAGGACTGAGCTGTGTGGCTCAGAACATGAGAGGCACTGCTATGACCGCTGGCGTAGCGAGCAGCTCAAGCTGCGTGAACAGCATGCTCTCGGTGAGTATACAGATGATTAATGACACAAACAGGGGAATTGAGCGAGAATAGCCGAATACTGATGTGTTTTGTGTTTCTAGAACACTTTACTGGACAGCAGCCATCAGAGTCCAAAATAAGCCGCTGGATGGACAAACAAGGGTGGACGTCAAACGTCCCACAGGCTGCAGTGGTTCTGAAGCAGTGGAAGCCTGTTGCCAGGTTGGACTTGGTTATCGACAGCAGCTTTGTGAAAAAAATGATTTTGTCTCAACGCTGGAAAGGACTGACTGTCAGGCCCGTCCCTGACAAGGGCGATGGTGTTTTCACCAAAAGACCCTTTCAGATCGGGGAGGTTGTCTGTGAATACCACGGCAAGCTGGTTAGCCATGAAGATGGGATGGCAATAGCTTCGACAAGCAGCATCAGAGCTGGCCATTTGTTTTTTTATAGGAACAAGCAACATGAAGCCATGTGCATTGACGCACATGAAGAAAGTTGCCAGTGCCATCCCATGAAGTTCAATTATGGACGCCTGATCCGTCACTCCAGCAAAAGAGCCAATATCCGGCCCAGGCTGTATGTCCTTAATGATAGAGACATCATTCTCTTCATTGCTACAAAATACATTTCGAGTGATGAGGAGTTACTCTATGATTATGGCTCAAAGAGGAGATCTTTTGCCGGGAAAGGGCTGGAATTGGACTGGATGTAAAACAACATCTTTCCATCCCCCATACTGACTCACTTCTAACATGTCCAACTCCAAGTTTCCACCTGTGGCCATATTCTCTTCTCAGTGATGGACAACCATCACTGCTCCTCTCACCCTGTACCCAGTACTCTTTCTGCACTGCCAAGCAACAACATTGCTCTCCAAATAGAGACTTGGTTGTAATAGGTTGAATGAGTGGGCCTTACAAACCATTCACCTTTACTTCCAGAGAATTGTATTTTCTCTTGTCTTTTGCTCTTTTTTTTCATAAGTTTTCTTTATGCAATAGTGAGAGTGTGAGTAGGCTACTCCATATTCTCTCCTCTCTCTCAGGATTCTGTACAACACATGTGGAATTACAGCCTGGTAAGTACGCTCAAACTGCGCTTAACCCTCCCTTACACCCATCTTTAAGTTTCAACCAAATTATTGTGCACTTTCTGGTTGTCGTCTTCTTTTTGTTTCAGATTACCAAGGCTTTTATGGTCAGCAGACATGCACCTCACTGCTGAGAATTAACCTGGCATCTTAATTCTTCATTACCTATGTTGTCTCTATGTTGTTTGATTAATGTTCAGATTTTGTTCATTTGGTTGCACTTGTATGTACTGGAAGTTGTTTATTTTCTTTAGTGTTGTTATTACTTGATATTACTATTATATATACAGTCTTCTAATGTGCTGTTATTTCACATTCTTATTAAAAAGTTGCAGAAATGACCCAGAATCACACAGTTCTGTTTCAGTGCATTCATATTATGCTTTTTAAACTAATTATTATTAAATAAAAGTAATAAAATAACTTAGACACTGTTTGGCATTTATTTAACAAATCATTTCAACAATTTCATTTAAAAATGTGTAATACTTTAAAAGAAAAAAGAAATACACTTCATTATTTAAAACATATGAAGCTTTTTCAGATAAGTGCAACACTTTTTCCCCTTCACCTGAAAATGACATGATAGCTAAAAAAAATAAGGGAAAAAAAGGAATATGACCTGGAAAAGTCATTTTCCTTTTTCCATGTGATCAGCCGAGACAAAAAAGAAGGAATCCACAAATATCCACAACATCCTGGAAAAACACTGAAATAATGGTCTCTGTATGAGAGCTGCTCTTTGAAGAGAATAAGGCAGCTAGCCTAATTAAGATAATTAAGATAGTTACAGTCAAATACAATAAGAATTTATTTTAGCAAAGAGACAAAAGTCAATCTATTTTGGACAGAATTCAATGTAAAATGTAAGACATTATTTATAAAGACAGACGGGCCTATATAATTATTTTTGGAGTGTTTGAACATGAATGGCAGCTGTTGTTTTTGATCTAACAGCAGCAAAACTACATGCTGAACGCTGTGAGCTTGCGTCAGGATGATGATGATACATGAGCCAACTTTTATTTTTTTCCTTTTTCAAAACAGTTTAGAACAAAACAAAAGAGCAATAAAAAACGGGTTACATGTCAAAGATCAACAGGCTCCAAACATGTGAACAATAAAAGCACCACAATGAAATTAAAACAAGACTTTTCTTCTCAACCATTTACCCCAGTATGCAGAAATTGTATAGGCTTGTTGTCTCAAGTTAAATGTCAGTACTTCTATGTCATACACCTCTTTAACAATATCATACTGTACCATTCGCCTACAGATGGAGGATCTTCCTTGAGCTATTTCTTTGTAATGGCCTTTTTGCTAGTTGTTAGTAGTGTGTTAAGAAGATACACATCATTTTTGGTATTTCTGCAGAGTAAATTCTCAGGTACATAGTTTTAAAATTACATTAATCCCATAATTAGATTTATCTCTATTTAAATCTTGTGTATAATATTACAGTTCCAAAATATTTTGAAATGATCTTCCAATACATTTTCACATTTTCTCCATCATTCACCATATTTTGATCTCTAGTTTAAAAGTATTTTATTTTAGATGTCATAAAGAACCTGATTACATTTTCCTAATAAATACCCTCTATGAATTAATTGTAATCATCTGTGTTTCCCAAATAGTTAACCATTCCTCATTTGCTATTATTATATTGGCTTCTCCTTCCCATTTCTGTCTGATACACATTGTTGAGTGTTTCTATGTTAATGTCAGACAGGAATAAATTCTTGATACTAGTTTTTTTATTAATCTTTATTTTTTGTAAGCATTTATAAATACCTGCACTCCTGTTGTTTTTATGTCTTCTGAATCTCTTATGCTTTTATTGAAGTAGTGTCTAACTTGAAGGTAATGGAAAAAGTCTTGTTTATCCAAGTTACATATATATATATATATATATATATATATATATATATATATATATATATATATATATATATATATATATATATATTTGAAAGTTGTTGAAAACCTTCCAATTCAGAAAAGGTAGGCTTGGTAATATATTCATCCTTATTATCTATTCAATTGTATAGATCTAAAGGTTGAAGGAGCCGTCTGTTCAAAAACTTTTTCATGGTTTCTGTAATGGGGAATTATTTTATTTTATAGATATCTTATAGGTATGCAGCGATTTGAACTCCAACATATCTGATATGTTGTTATATCAGATGTAAGTTATTACTCATCTAAGGTATGATTACAGCATTCAAAAAGCATTGACATCAATTGTTCTTTGAATATTTTATACCATTCTGCAGAGAAGCCATCTATGTCTGACATATCGTTTTAGTTTTGTAATCTTTGATTTTAAATATCCTCCTCTCTGCCTGTCGTTTCTTTATTCTTCATGCCAGGAGCTTTTTGGACCATTTTCATAAAATTTTAAAATGTAAGTTTTATTTGTACTTGCTCATCAAACATTTTATTGAGATCTGCTTTAACTTCTTTAACCCTAACCCTATTGTTAAAATATCTGGATCTTTCTTATTACCATATTTAGTCTCTAATTCTTCAAGTTGTATATTTAGATTATTTATGTAATTCAGTTTTTTTTTCCCTTGATCCCCACATTATAAGTTTACCTCGCGTAACAGCTTTAGCTGCGTCCCATATGATACTAGGTGACACCTCTGCATTATCATTATGTTTTAAATATTCTTATAGTTCTTTTTTTAACATATTCTACACATGTTAAATCATTCAAATGATAAGGGTTAAATCGCCAAAATGTCTTTTTGGGTTTAATGTCCAGGTAAACTGTTAAATATACTCCTGCATACTCTGAGATGTCCCTTGTTCCTATTTTACAGTCTTTTATTTTTATGTTGATCTGAGCTAAAAAAAAAAATAATAATAATAAATAAATAAATAAATCAATTCCAGAATGAGACATGTGGAAGAAAAGAAAGTATATTCCTTTTTAAGAGGGTATATGTCTCTCCATACATCTATCGAGCCTAATTATTTCATCAAAAATCTTATTTGTCTAGTTTCTTGACTAATTTGCTTATTAGAAGAAGAGTCCAATTTAGGATGAAGTTGTACATTCCAGTCTCCCCCACAGATCAACATTCCTGATGCCTTCTTGGCTATAACACTTACTATTTTTTTGAGAAATGCTTTGTCTTTTTCAGGTGGTCTATATATACTAACTAATGTAACTTTGTTTTGGTTGATAGTTCCTTTAATTAAGTTATATCGCCCTTCTTTATCAGTAATCTTAGAAATTAATTGGAAGTTGATTTTATTTGAGATTAATGTCATTACTCCTCGTTTACGACCATTATTATATGAGGAAAAGAAAACCCTAAATCCCATTGTTTCTAATTTCCTATGTTCTGTATCAGAAAGATGCGTCTCTTGCCAGAAGATTATCTGTTGGTTTTCTCTTTTCATTTTAAGTTTGCTTCTTTTAATCGGATTTAGTAACCCATTAATATTCAAAGTAATTACTCTATATTTCTGTTTTTGCATATACTATAATCAGATATTATTGCGAAGATCACTGATCGGAACACGAAAAACACAAACGTGAATATCTTGAACCACATAAAAATTATTACGAAAAAGATCTCCAAACCTTGAAGTCTTAAATAACTTCTTAATGTGAGGGGAAAGCCTTCCTTTTCTAAAAAGCCCTTTCTTGCTGTGCCTATTGCACTCCATGTTATTTAAATATGGTTTAGGTTATCATATATGATGTAAAAAGAAGGATTAATACCAGTGTGTATGGGAGCTCTCTTTCTATGCTGCTACATGTGTCAACACCATACTGGAAACCATCCCATGTGTTTCTCAAGCTGCCCCGAATGAGTGAAACTCTGTACACACTAGGGTTGGGTATCGTTTTTTTTTTTTCGATACCGGTGCTAAATCGATACTTTTAAAACAATACCGGTGCCAAAACGGTGCCTGAATCGATACTTTTTTTTAGCCACAAAATGATGGTGGATGACTCTTCAAAAAAATTTTATTTGACAAATTTTTCTTTTTTTTAAATAATTTTAATAGAACAACATAATTACAGTTTAATGTAAACATCAATTCATATTGTATTACATTAATACATTTCCTTTGATCATTTGTTGGTTAGCATGAATTTAAGATTTGCATTATGAAATTACATTAGCTTCCTTTTAACCTGTGGGGGGCTGGCAGGGGCCACGTAATTTTAGGAGCACATTTTAACAAATATATCACAAAATACTTAAAACATTATTCAAAGTCATTTGTTTTCATGCATCACTCTGCAGTCTTCATAAACAAGATAATTAAATAACTTAAACTCAAAATAATCTTACTTGTTCATTTATTCGACAAGTAACGTTGTACTGGTGTAGGAGAACACATTTCTAACATTCAAGTACATCAAGGCACATTGTTGCACCTGTAAACTTCAACAGGCCTACAGTTGAAGTCGATTCATTTTGCCCTCCTATTCATTAAAAATAATGTTTCTGAAAACTTTTACAGTGTTTCCTAAAACATAATTATTCTGGAGTCATAATAAGTCCTATTTCTTATTGTTTATTTCATGAATAAAAGCCGTTTTTAATAAAAAAAAATAATAATAAGGTCAGTATTATTAGCCTCCTTAAGAAATATTTACTGTATATTTTTGATTTACACAACAAATCAGTTACAAAATAATTTGACTAATTATTTTAACTTTCGTAGTGAACTGATTAAAGGGGTGGTCCAGAATGTAATTTTAAGGCTTGGTTGTGTTAATAAGATGCAAAGCAATGTGTGCTCATGTTTAACTTGAAGGAAATCATGTTATTTTTTCATATATCTCACTTTGATTATACACAGCTACTCAGCTAACATGAAAACGACTGTCATATTGCCTAGTTCCTCTAAAAGGCCCACCCTCAAGTGACTCTGATTGGTCATCATCATAATGTGCTGTGATTCGCCGATCGGCTCCACATCACGCCCAGAGAAGCACGCGCGTTGTGTGTAAACAGTCAGTCAGTTAACACGTGTCTGTAACGAGTGAAAATGGGATGCGGCTCCTTTAAAAGTGTTTCTGTGCCATTTAGTGTGTTTATGTGTGTGCGTGTATATACTATGAAGTGTCTGTAACATGAGATGTGCATGTGCGCAAGATATTTATTGTTCTTTTTATTCTCATGCTCGGATTAAGTTATTTTCTGTGGTGACAGATTAAATTACAAGATGTGAGATGAGACCCGTGTGAGCCTGGATTGATTTGTTTTTGCTGTTACACTCCAGTTGGGAGAGCATTGCTGCATTTTTTTATTTTTTTTAATCAATGCGTTGATTGAGGATGTCTTTCACGCATATCCGGAATATGCCTGTGTAAGTAACATGATTCGTTCACATATCTTTTGCGACTTTATTGTCTTGAGTTGAACGCATGGAAAAGCTGCCTGAAGACAATCAGTGCAGTCGTGCACACACATAAGAGACACACTGCCATCTCACACAGAGAGACGCAGGTGCTGGCCAAGAGTGCGTGTATGTATGTTTGTGTATGTGTGTGTGTTTACAGCCGTTTGACTGATAAGTATGGATTTGTAGCTAAGTCGTTAGCGATGAACATAATTTCCCGTTGTTTACATCTTTGCTACAACACACCGTTAAGGTTAGACGCTGTACATGTCATGATCAATTTTAACAAATAAAAACACTTACAGGTTATGACTCAGTTCACAGCGTGTCCTTGCTCCATCTTTGAGGAGATTTTAGCCGAATCCAGCACTGAACTGGGAGAGATTCTGGAAGCTGCGTTTTGTCAAATCATGCTTGCTGTGTATTTTATAGTTCTCTGGAACATAATTAATATTGAACTGTAAGCACTTCTGTGCTTCTGTCGTGTCATTTGGAAGCCCAACAACAGAAACAGAGAAGCTCTGTGGAAACAGCAGGATGGCATTTCTCCCTCTGCAGTATAGTTACAGCGCCTCTGGCAACGGCCTTTACCTGCGCAGTGTGGGATGCGCAATAACAAACTTTTGAGATCTCACAGGGGGCGGAAGTATTTTTTGTAGTCCCCAAAATTCGTTCATTGTAGGCTTTGCTAAGCTAACTCTAAAAATCAAGGTCTCCCTTTGCATTGAACTTTGAGCATTTTAAATTCAGAGATGCTGTTTATGTTCACACAGCTACATTACACATCAACTAAAGTTTAAAATATGAGATCATAGTGGACCACCCCTTTAAGTCTAAATTACCCTTTAATCTGAATAAAAGACTAATAAACACTTAAAGGGACTTTGTCTTGCAAAATAACTAGTAAAATGTTCTGCACTGACTGTCAGCATAAAAAAGTAACGTTAGATATTAAAAACGAGTTAGTTAAACTATTATGTTTAAAAATGTGTAGTAAATAAATCATGTGTTCAAGACGGAAATCAGTTGAATATGACTTACATGAGCGTGACTGAAAACTACATTTGATCAATGTGTTACATCTGTTCTACATGTGTCATTAAGTTTGACATGTTTCCCTCTTAACGTTACACACACTTTTGTAAAGACAGTTGCTGTGTAAGAATCCTTGCTTGTAAAATACGCTTTAGAATGCTTAGTTTAGGCAAATTGGATGAACGTGATCACACATGTTGATCTGAAGAGTGTTGCTCTCGCTCACCAAAAACCACTGGTTCCAGGCTAAATGCGCTGTACTGTGTGCGTTGCGTGCATCTGTTCCCTAGCGACAATAACAATTGCTTAATATCGCTTGTCCGTATTCCTCAAAGTTGTTTAGAATTAAATGTTTAGTGATGCTGTGACAAAATGCCTATATGTGCCTTTTTTCATGCACCCCTCACGTTCATGCCGCAGCACCGAAATTAAGCACCGAAATTCATATGCTGATTTAATACCGATACATACCAGTTACCAAGGTAGCGGTGCTAAAATGGCACCGGGTTTCGTTAACCAACCCTAATACACACTGATCACGTCTACAGTTTATCTCCAGTGTGAATCCTCTGATGTGCTTTCAGGGTTCCTGAGTGAGCAAACCTCTTACTGCAGTGTGAACACTTGTACAGTTTCTCTCCAGTGTGAATCCTCTCATGTGTTTTCAGGGTTCCTGAGTGAGCAAACCTCTTACTGCACTGTGAACACTTGTACGGTTTTTCTCCAGTGTGTATCCTCTTGTGCCGTTTCAATTCTGCAGCTGTAATAAAAGTCTTCTCGCACTCCAAGCACATATACTCTCTCACACCAGTGTGAATCTTCATGTGTTTTTTAAGGTATGATTGGCTAAAACTCTTCCCACACTGAGGGCATTTGAATGGTTTCTCTCCAGTGTGGATCATGAGGTGTTGATTAAGGTGTGATGAGTGGATGAAACTCTTCCCACACTGAGTGCATGTGAAAGGTTTCTCTCCAGTGTGGATCCTCATGTGTACATTAAGGCATGATGATTGGATGAAACTCTTCCCACACTCAGTGCATGTGAATGGTTTTTCTCCGGTGTGGATCTTCATGTGTCTATAAAGCGATGATGATTTACTGAAACTGTTCCCACACTCAGTGCATGTGAATGGTTTCTCTCCAGTGTGGATCCTCATGTGTAGATTAAGGGATGATGATTGGCTGAAACTCTTCCTACACTCAGTGCAAGTGTATGGTTTTTCTCCGGTGTGGATCTTCATGTGTCTATAAAGCGACGATGATTTGCTAAAACTCTTCCCACACTGAGTGCATGTGAATGGTTTCTCTCCAGTGTGGATCATCATGTGTTCATTAAGGTGTGATGAGCAGTTAAAACTCTTCCCACACTGAGTGCATCTGAATGGTTTCTCTCCAGTGTGGATCCTGATGTGTTGATTAAGGTGTGATGAGCAGTTAAAACTCTTCCCACACTGAGTGCAAGTGAATGTTTTTTTACCGGTGTGGATCTTCTTGTGTCTATAAAGTGATGATTTGCTGAAACTCTTCCCATATTGATAGCATGTGAATGGTTTCTCTCCAGTGTGAATCCTCATGTGAGTCTTTAGTTTGCTTTTGCTTGCCAAACTCTTTCCACACTGAGTGCAGGTAAAACAACTCTTGTCTCTCACTTTTAAAATACCATCAGTCACTAAATGAGTTTTGTCCTCAATTTTGACATGATGTTCCTCTTTACTCTCCTCGTAGTCTTTAATTAGGTCTGAAATAAAAATAAGTTTACTTTTTAGTAAATCATTAAAACTCTCAGTGAAAAGGCACTTTAAAAAATTTCCCATTAGAACAACTTTAATTTATCACACCAACTTCAAGTTCTCTAGCCACACCCAGACCTGATTACTACCACACACGTTCGCAATCAAGAAATCACCTAAATAGGACCTGTCTGACAAAGTGAAGTAGACCAAAAGAGCTTCAAAAGCTAGACATCATGCCAAAATCTAAAGACCTTTAAACACAAATGAGAAAGAAAATACTTATGTCACTAGTTAAAAAAAGAGTGAATGGCTTTTCCTACAGCTGGTGGAGGAGACGAGAGTACGGTTGGAGTTCACTGTAGTGCATACATTTGTTTTTACTGTAAAATCCTCACCGCGTGCGCAGATTTAGGAGACATTTATGCAGAACGCATCTTTGCACCTAAAAGCGCCAAACGCAGCACCAGGAACAGATTAAAACAGTTGTTATGTAAACTTGAAGTAAAAAAAGTCTGCAATGCTCGCCCCGCCTTTGTGCTCTATTTATTGGCTCACTGCTCTACAACTGAATGCAAATGATTGGTTAATATCAGCTGTCAATCACTCAGTCAATGCCTTCTGCCTTCAGATGATAGGATAGATGCGAAAATGTGAAGCGCTGAAGATGAGAGAATGAAAATAACAGACAGGTTTACCTTAAGTTATTAATAATGGCGCATCTTATTAGTAATCATGTGCTGAATGTTAATCCACCATTTACACTTTTCCAAGAGTGGATAAAAGACTTCTAGTGGCTTTAAGTCCGCCGGTAACCGTGTTTGGCACTGAATCTACACATTTAAGCGCGAGAGGTATTGTATAACCCTTCATTTAATCCTCACGATGCTGTCAGCCGTGCAAGCAGCAGCTATATGTAACATTTAACACAGCTCATAAAAAGACTGTTATTGCTATTACGATGACATGCAAATAATAAGTTATATATCAATATAAATGTGGGGCGGGGCGATGGATCGTGATGCAGGCCCAGCATCGTGAAGTTTGTCGGCCATCGGCAATGGCAATTGACTTCTTAAAAAAATACTTATTCTGCAAGCGGAATAACTCCATGAGGATCTCCACATAAGATCACGCCAGATTCATTATGAACATGGTGAACGAGCTGGCAGGTTATTGTGTTACCAACTGAAACAATCCTCAGCAGCTGGCGTTATAGTAGCAGTTAGTAAGGATGATGGCAGTATTATTACTGATCAACAGGGTATTAGTGATCAATTTAAAAACTTCTATAAAACTCTTTACAGCTCTAAGGTAAACTTAATTGAACGTATTGAGAGCTTTTTTAATTATTAAGAATTACCATCCCTCTGTGATTTAGATCAGTTGACAAAAGAAGGGATTTTAACACCTTCTAAAATTAAAAATACAAAAAAAAAAAAAAAAAAAAAAAAAAAATCAGAAAAGCACCAGGCCCTGATGGCGTCTTGGCTGAGTTTTCTAAGAAGTTTTGTGCCAAGTTAACACCCCTGTTGTGCAAGGTATTTGCTAAAGCTCTTGTATCGGAATCACTCCCCCCTTCATGACATCGGCTGTTATAACAGTACTTCTTCAAAAGAGTAAGGATCCACTTAAATGTGAACCTTATCATCCGATCAGCTCACTCTGCTGTATAAAATCCTGCCAAAAGTGCTGGCAATCAGAGTGGAGTCAGTCATGAGAAAGATAATTCACCCAGATCAAACTGGTTTTATTGTTGGGAGACAGTTATCTTACACCCTTTGTTGCTTATTTAATATTATTTATTCACCTAAAAATAATACCAATCCAAAGGACTTAATTTCTTTAGATGACCATAAGGCATTTGAAAGAATTGAGTATATCTATTCATTTACAGAGCTTAAAAATTTGGTTTTGACCCTGGACCAAATGGCTTGTTTCCACTGACTGGTACAGTATGGTACAGTTCGGGTCGGTACGGGTCACCTTTACCAGGCTTGCGTTTCCACTACCAAGGGTACCCTTTTAGTGGGCGTGGTGTATGACAAAGTTTCAGTCAACGTCATTTTCGCTCGAGAAAATGTCTACAGTAAAGCTGCACAGGTCGTTCACATATCATATGAAAAGCACTTCTCACAAAACAGATGCTTTACACACATAAATACTTGAGTATAAATGTTTATTACTAACTTTTCTATGAACATTAGTTGATTTTAACTGCAGATCAATGACGGTGCGAAATAGCCTACTGTAACGTCTGTAATTATATAAAGTAAATAAATAAATGAAGATATATGAACACATACAGACCCTTATAGTCTCTGATATGTTACCAACTACAGAAGAACTACACAAAGCAGACATTTCGTCCTTAATTAAGTTCAAAACAACACAAAGTATAGCCAGGGCCGGAGCAAGCTGAACTGCCGCCCTCAACCCTAATGTGAAAATGAAAGTGACCAGTTATGAAAATGAAGTGAGGTGTCGCAGACCTCTTAATCAGCACACTATGCGCGGATATAACTGAGGACGCGCGGGTGCTGAAGGAGGGAGGGAGGGAGGTGTCGCGGACACTGCGCTCTCTATTCTGCCGCCCTATGCGCGGTTGTAACTGAGGACGTGCGGGTGTAGCGGACCTCAGTTCTGCCGCCCTATGCACGGATATAACTGAGGACACGCGGGTGCTGATGGAGGTGTCGCTGAGACCGCCCTCTCTATTCTGTCGTCTATGGGCGAATATATCTGAGGACGCGGGTGGTGAGGGAGGTGTCGCAGACATAACTGAGGACGCGGGTGGTAAGGGAGGTGTCGCGGATGCCGCCCTCTCTATACTGCCGCCCTAGGCGGCCGTCTAGGTCGCCTCTATGGACGCGCCGGCCCTGAGTATAGCCTCCAGTCAGTGAAAACCTCTCATCTGTGTCTGTAATATTCAGCAGCAAATGTAGCCTCTGTTAGAGAGTCATTCCATCATTCCCAGTTCATATTAGTCTAAAAGGTGATAATAAAGATTAAGACAAGGCAGTTTGTTCACGTTTGCTGAAGAAATAACGTGCTCCTTGGCTTCGCCTTTTTTCCGCGCCCCACTCCCGCGTTTGTCCTTTTCTTTCTGATTGTGTCACAGAATGTGTCCCGCGTTTGTCAGCTTCTCACAGGACCGGGTTTCCAAAGCTTGTCAATAATCAAGCGCATATATTATTATCAGCTCAAGAAGTTTGTTATTTCAGATAGAGACGAGCGGCGAGCACAAGGAAGAATGCGAAACCACTCAAGCTTCAGACCGGCTCGTAAAAAACTATGCGGCACAGGGTAAATCCGCTCTTCTCTATGGCTTTGTGGCTGTTTATCAAGATGACGACAGGGTTTGTTTGAGCCCGGATCGACCATGGCTGCATTTGTATTTATAATTCCGCTGTAATCTCTCGCTGTGTATTTTAAACATGGCGGGTCCGTTATTTAGATTCTGGCTTGTTGTGTCTACGAATGACGTATCTCTGTAAACCAATAGCGTTCAGCTGCGCATCTAGCTCCGCCTTTTAGGGCCTACTCACACTATGCCATCCGTACCGTGCCCAGGCCCCTTTCCCGGATCGTTTGAGAAGTGTGAGTGCGCTGAATCAGGCTCAAGCACGGTTCACTTGGCCGGCCCTGGCCCAGTTGGAAGAGGTGGGCCTGAGCGTGGTTCACTTGGGCTTTGGCGCGGTACGCTTGTGTGTGAGTACAAAACGCGCCAAAGCCCAAAACTGAAAGCAAGACATGACTTTTAAGGGGTAGTTTCATATGGATTTATTAATCATTCTTACTGTTCAGTGAACGCAAACTGCCGTAGTTTATTAAAGACGAGAACTCCTCACAGCACGACAGCTGCGCGGCTTCAGCAGACCTCCTCATTCCTGCAGCACGAGAGCTTTATGATTGTTTATGAGCGCCAAAAGTGGCGGATCTGTTCGGCGAAATATCTGACTGCGTGTCACCACATCCCTAAGGACTGTTTGGTGAAATATTTGACTGCATGTCACTGCATATCAAACGACTGAAACGATATAACTAGAGAAATCTCCACTGTGCTGCTGAGAGAGCGCTTCTCACTGAACAGCGCAGCAGTGATGACGTAAGCGTGCCGAGGCCCGTTTGTGGTGTGAGTGCGGGCCGTCGGGGCAGACAGGATGGGGGACAAGCGTGCTTTGGCCCGGTTCGAGGCAACTTTACCTAGTGTGAGTACGGCCTTAGTGTTTGGGACCCTTTCAAAAGGGTGCCAAAAAAGTGGTACGGTACGGTTTGGTTCGGTACGCCTTTTAACAGTGGAAACGGCCATAAAAGCGTACCAAACCGAACCACTTAGTGGAAACGGTCCATAAGAGCTTGATTAACATGGTAAACAATATAGAGACTTCTAAATGAATGAATGTGCGAATATAAAACCAACTTTACCTCTATATGACTGAGTTGGTGTTTGAGAATGAAACCAACCTGTTTGTTCCTGCAGATCTTCCTGTTTGACTGTGAATGTTTCTTCAATCTTCACATCTTCACTCTCCTCTTTAATAAACGCCATCTTCATAACAGTGTGGAGATCAGTCGCTTCAGCAGGATTTTTTTCTCTGTGTTTGGACACTTTATCCTGTTTAAAATGAACAAAACAATAAAAATATCCTGTTTAAATAAGTAAAAAAAATTAACAGAAATAAAATAACTTCTCTTCAACACTTGCTTCAACAGTAACAAAAACGAAATCAGGTATGTCCAAGCATAGAGGTAAAGTTGGTTTTTATATTCGCACAATCAGACTTTTCTCTTAATAATATAACTTCATAAAAGTATTATTTGCAAACTCTAAACAGTGAAATCATATTAGCAGCCAATGACTATCAAAGTACAACATTGTTCACAAACC